TTCTAGTATTAATAACAAGTTGTACACAGTTCTCACACCATCAGTTAGCATCAGTTTCATCTAGAAACATAACCTTCAACTCATCTGTAACATTGGCCATCTAAAACCATATCGGCTCCGAACATTCATCTGTTGGAGATGCTTCATCAAGCCTCCATCAATGATTCACAAGATATTTTACTAACGGTACAGACGAACAACCACGCTTAGATGAAAACCTTATCCTTAATTCAATAATAAATCAGAAACTTTTCAGATAAAAAATGTGATTATATCTTAAAACAGAATAAAAAAATGAAATTACATTTTTTATTTTCATTCCTTCTTAGTATGTTTTGTTCTCAAAGTCACTGTATTTTAAATATTTTAGAAAGGGAGAACAAAGCAGCTGCTGTATATATTCTTTGTATATGAGAATATAATGTCCCTTTCTGTTATTTTCATCCTCTCAGTCACAGTAACCTTTTATTGACCCTGATCTCATCTGGATGTAAAGCAGCTGTGTGGAAGGTTTGACTTCTTTCAGCCCATCAGCTGCTGGTGTTTATGAAAGGAAGGGAGGATGTGTTTACTTTCTGGGAGTCATCAGTCTGTCTGAAAAGAGCAGATATTTACACACAGGAGATTTCTTACTTTACTTCTCAGTACATTTTTAACTCTCAAATTAGATTTTTAAAGATATATTTAAACAAACAAAAAAACAAAGCACTTCAGCAAATTATAAATTGCATCTAATATTCCAGATTTGTTGCTTCTGAGGGTTTAAAATGTAGGTTTCAGTAGAAATCACTGAATGATCAATGTTGATTCATTGTGTTTTGAGCTTTTAGACTTACCTAGTTGTAATTATTTGTAGAGAAACAATCACTGAACTATTATACATGTTTTCCAGCATCAACAAATTAAATCATGAAAAGGAGTCTTCACACAGACTTTTAGGGGCTGATTAAATACAGTTTGCACCATTCTGTAATCTGATAGACATAGTTTTAGCTTATTTAAATCCATTTTATAGCAGCGTGGTGTCTCAGTTGGTAGAGCTGTTGTCTCTCACTAAGAATGTTGCAGGATTGAATCCGAGCCTGAGACCTTTCTGTGTGGAGTTTACATGTCCGTCTTTGCATGGGTGGGTTTTCTCTGGTTTCCTCACATAGACCAAAAAACATGCATGTTCGGTTTCTGAATTGTCCCACCCTCAGGAGTGCCCACCCTCTCACACAGTGAGGACTGGACATGAGCACCAGTAACTCCGGCAAACTGTACCTGAAAAGGTGGGGAAAGATGATGGATAGATAAATTAATTTTCCTTTTATTTAATGTATTTTTTGTGATGATAATTTTTTTGATATTTTTTATTAAAATTCAAATCAAATCACATTCCAAACACTACAGCAACAAAATCATAAGATTTCAAGGCTGGGGAAAAATGTTTGTGACTCACAGGATGTCTCAGCTTCTTATTTTTAACAGCAAAAACACCAGCTACTAAAAGAAACAGCTGTTTTTTATGTGGAGGCATGCTCTACACACAAACACAGAGAACAGTATTTTTAATGTTTTCACAGTCACAGCTGTGAAAAATGTTGTTAAACTTTTCACTTCCAAACCCTGTAAGTTGCCTTTAGTACAGCAGGTAAAATACAGTAAGTATTGAACACGTCACCATTTTTCTCAGTAAATATATTACTAGAGGTGCTAATGACATGAAATTTTCACCAGATGTTGGTAACAACCCAAGTGATCCATACATACAAAGAAATCAAACCATAAATGTCTAGAAAGGAAGTTATTTGTAATAATGTGTAATGGCACAGGGAAAAAGTATTGAACACACTTACTGAAATTTATCTAATACTTTGTACAAAAGCCTTTGTTGTCAATGACAGCTTCAAGACGCCTCCTGTATGGAGAAACTAGTGGCATGCATTGCTCAGGTGTGATTTTGGCCCATTCTTCCACACAGTCTTCAAATCTTGAAGGTTTCGTGGACCTCTTCTATGAACTCTGATCTTTAGTTCTTTCCATAGATTTTCTGTTGGATTCAGGTCAGGTGATTGGCTGGGCCATTCCAGCAGCTTTAGTTTCTTTCTCTGAAACCAACTGAGAGTTTCCTTGGCTTTGTGTTTGGGCTCATTGTCTTGCTGAAATGTCCAGCCACGTTTCATCTTCATCATCCTGGTAGATGGAAGCAGATTTTTATCAAGAATGTCTCTGTACATTTTTCCACTCATCCTTCCTTCAATTATTTGAAGTTTGCCAGTATCATATGCTGAAAAACAGCCCCACACCATGATGTTCCCACCTCCAAACTTCACTGTTGGTATGGTGTTTTTGGGCTGATGTGCAGTGCCATTTGACCTCCAAACATGATGTGTATTCTGGCATCCAAACAGTTCAATGTTGGTCTCATCTGACCAGACTATATTCTCCCAGTATTACACAGGCTTGTTTAAATGTTGTGCAGCAAACTTTAAAGGAGCTTCAACATGCTGTTTCTTCATCAGTGGAGTCTTGCGTGGTGAGTGTGCATACAGGCCATGGTGGTTCAGTGCATTACTTATTGTTTTCTTTGAAACAAACGTACCTGCTAATTCCAGGTCTTTCTGAAGCTCTCCACAAGTGGTCCTTGGCTCTTGGACAACTCTTCTGATAATTCTTTTCACTCCTCTGTCAGAAATCTTGCGAGGAGCACCTGGTCGTGGTCGGTTTATGGTGAAATAATGTTCTTTCCACTTCTGAATTATGGCCCCAACAGTGCTCACTGGAACCTTCAGAAGTTTAGACATTCTTCTGTAACCGATGCCATCATTATGCTTTGCAACAATAAGGTTGTGAAGGTCTTGAGAGAGCTCTTTACTTTTACCCATCATCAGATGGTTCTTGTGTGATACCTGGTCATCATTTGGGACTGAACCAGCTGATATTAACTTGCACTGACAAGGGGCAGGCTTGCTTTCTAATTACTGAGAGAGTTCAGCTGGTTTCTTGGCTTTCCATGCCTTTTTACACCTCCCTTTCTTCATGTGTTCAATACWTTTTCYCTGTGCCATTCCACATTATTACAAATAACTTCATTTCTGGACATTTATGGTTTGATTTCTTTGTATGTATGGATCACTTGGGTTGTTTCCGACAACTGGTGGAAATTTCATGTCATTAGCGCCTCTAGTAATATATTTACTGAGAAAATTGGTGACGTGTTTAATACTTATTTTACCCGCTGTATAAAGAAATACTGAGTTTGACCAGTTTGGATCTTTTTATAATTGAAGAATCCACACAATGGATCAGATGGATGGTTTTACACTTGTTGTGGTTGCATCATCATCACCTCTCATGTGGCTCGTCACACAGAAGGTATTCTCCAGGTCCTCACTGACCTTTGTATGGAGTTTCTGAACATTTCACTGTCATGCTCAAAACGATCCATGACAATAGACCCGACAGTCTTCTGGAGGATCTTATAATGTTTGAGCACCGGACGAGTGTATGAGAACTAGTCAGTTGAAGTCCTGATCAGAGAAGCCGGCGCTCTCTGTTTCAGCCCATCTTTGAAAACCTTTTTTTCAAGGTGTAAAACAACCTGTTAGACAGATGTTAGATGAATGCGTTCCAACCTGCCGCTTCCCCCAGTTTCCTCCTCTAGTGAAAGGCAGGCTGTGTAAAAGCTTCATTTAGACATGGAAAAGGCAGAAAAGCCCACACAAAAAGCTGTCAGCCGGAGATAAGTCACTGCCTATTTAGCCTCTGTAAATTGGCACTTGACTTCCCGAATGTTTTTGTTGCTGGCAGCGCTGCAACGAGCAGAAGAATAATGGTTTAATTTTCCCCTGATGACGCCGGCCCCTGGTGCCTCATACATATGCAGCTTATCAGCGGCAGCTGCCGGGGATCTTTTTCTTTTTTAACTCCTGAAAACTCAAAATTCTCACACAGCACAATCTGTCAGTTGGGCTTCATTGGACATAAATTGCCACTTTATGATAATGCTGATGGGAATGACTGACTGGTTCTCCTGGGAAATACATTTACATGTACAAAACATCAACATACAGTGGAGACAATTGTTATTTGATCCCCTGCTGATTTTGTGCTAATTTTTTATGGTGTATTCATTTTAATAGAGACAAACAAAATATCAAGTAAAAATCCAGAGAAAAACACATTGCATAAAGTAAAAAATTAATTTGTTTCATTAAGGGAAATAAATTAACACGTCTAGAATTTTGGCTCCCATTGATTAGTTATGTGATGAAGTGGCCCACTGACAACTGATCTGTTTCAGTGTTTAAAGTCAACAATACCAGTTTCTTCCATTCCAACTTCTCCACCACCAAGAGAAAAAAATGAAAGAACTGTCAGAGGTCATCATGGCCAAGATAGTAGATCTGCACAAACAGAACGAGACTGGAAGAGACCGTCATCACTGGAAACACCCTGGTGGTTGACTCTTCTAGTGTTGCCACAAAAACACAAAGTGCTGATCTTGGTGAACCTACTAACGTGTGATAATAAACTGAAGGACTTGTTCACCAAACTGTCTGTTTTTGCCACATTATACCCACTAATTAAAGCTCATCTTTCCACCAACTGCCTCCGATCGCTTCAGTCTTACTGCTTTCAGAACACATGAGGAACTTTCTCAGTTCACACAAATTCCTTTTGGACTTGCCTCGGCACCATCTGCCTTCCAAAAGAAGATTCACAGAGATCTGGACGATGTGCCAGGAGTCCAGAACTACTTGGATGATATTAAAGTGTATGAAAATATCATGGTGAACAGTTACAATGTAGTTAATGTGTGATTTATTTGTTTGGTGTGTTTGCACTGAACCAAAAGTCAGAACAAACATTTGTGAGTCTTGCTCTCTTTATCAATCCTTTCTTCTTTTTCTCTTCTATATTTATAGTCTTATTTCATGATGCACCCCTCAATCATTTCTGCAGTCTTCTCTTTGTCTGAGTGTTCTTATTTTTCTGCTTATTCTGCTTGTTTTCAGGTGAACAAGCAGCAGCTGCAGACTGTGAAGGAGCGTTTCTTGGCCTTCCTGAATGGAGAAACTCAGATTGTGGCTGATGAAGCCTTCTGTAATGCTGTAAGAAGCTACTATGAGGTAAGAAGAAAGAGTCTTTTACAATATTTTCTTCAAGTTAAACCTTATTTATATAGCACTATATATTATTGAATGTTCTTTTCAAAAAGACCAAAAACACTGAAGATATTTCCACAGGCTCACTGGGGCTGGGAATCTGTAGGCATCTCACAACTGATTTTATTATGAGACAACCAATGATGCATTTTGAAACTCAAATAATTATAACTTCTCTCACATAAATAAACATTCATTTACACGTTTTCTTGCCTAGTGCTGATCAACATTTAGCATTTTTTAAATCTGTTCCGATTTCGGCAATGTTCATTTCTGGTTTCACACAGGCCTTCAGAATAAAAGTAAACAACCTATAGAGAACCCCAGTGGAATGGAGGGAGTCAATGCAACACGCCACATTGACCAAGAATGCATTAAACCTCTGTCCTTTTATCAAAATAAAAGAATAAAGTGAATATTTACAAACTTTTGTTTGGAAGAGGAAAAAAAGAACTGAAATATCCAAAGTTTAATTTATTCAAATTTACTTGCTTTGATAATATTTATATAAAAATAAAACAAATTGATGTTTTTCAAAACCCTCAACCCCCAGGTTGGGGACCGCTAACATAGAGGTCTGAGGCAGGGGAATAGAGAGGGGAGCCAGTGTGTTGTGTTCAAAGACATAAAGTGATTGTTGGAGCACATTTTACTGTTTGTTACCACATGACAGACTAAATGTTGATATGTTAATTAGTTTAGCTTTAGCTTCTGTCATATTTTTTATCAGTTTAGCTTTTTGTCATTAGTGGAACTAAGAACTTTATGAAGCAGTTTAGGTGTTTAGTGAAGCTAATGTTTTGTTAGTTGTGCCTGTAAGTGTTTAGCTTACACTTCTTATACCAAGGTTATGAGAGTAATTTAATTAGCAAGGGATCACTTTTTATTTTGGATAAACATTCCTTTAATGCAAAAATGAATGGACACAAAAAGTAACTCTCAGTCAGTGAATGTTGATTTGAACCATAATATGCAATCGTTTATTTTACAAATCATACAAAATCACTAGAGTACACTTGATTGTGAATAATTAATTTCCTATAAAAGTTTTGGGACCAACAATAACAAGCTTTTAACTTCTTAACTGTTAACCACACTTAAATAAAAACACAAACGTCAGCTTAGATGTTTGATACCAGACAATTTGAGACAATTTATCTTAGGGTTGGCAAGGAAGAGTTTAAGAAAAGGGAGGAAGAAAGATGTTAGCTTTCTTACACTTTTATCTTAAATAATGTGGGTTTTAACCAGAAGGGCGAAGCGTTCTGTGCTCAACTTCGGTCAGACCTCGACGTCACACACAGCCAGCTTTTACCTTGAGATGATGTTCTGTCACCTGCCAGGTAGGTTGGGGCTTCTGCTGAGAGAATCCGCTTAGGACAGACCACCAGAGTGACCCAGGCATGTAGGTCTACTCGTTTTACCACGTCAGCCGTAAAAAGAAGACAAGGCCTCGACTAGAACCCAGGTTTCAGAATAAAACTTCAGTCTGGAGAGTTTCTGAAGGTGGATAAACCAGGCGTTGGTTTTCCACACTGTGAGGTTTCCCCGTTGGCGTGAAGGGGCCAAACCTGACACCGTTTTCAGCTTTTGATTCCCCGGAGAGAATCTAGCTGTTACGGTGACTGACGGTGGTCCGTCACCTTACTTCCTGCTGGACGGGCGGAAACAGTTTCTAAAGCTTAGAGAATCTATGGTCCGCCCTCCAGAAGGTTAGATTAGAAAAGAAATTATCAAGGAAAGTGTTAGTTTCAGAACTGGCTGTGCCTCCTGAAACTAAAACAAAGATTATTGCTGCTGCTGTGAGGTTCAGAACAACACATTTCATGACCCATTTAATGACCTGATGAGCATTTATTTAAAACATAACTGAAAGAAAAACGAATTGCTTCAAGTTCAAAACATTTGCAAATATGATTCAGACAAGTAAAACATTGATATTTCATCAACTTAAACCATAAAGATTATTTTAGTTAAATAAGAATTTTTCCACAGAAAAAACCATACATAGCTGAAATCATACTGAGGGAGAAAAGAGAYCTGTCCTCTCTTCTCCTGTAACTTTGATAAACATTCTCTGATTATCAAAATGCGTAATACTTTCAGTTAAGAGAACAATAAATCAAATAAGAGAAGATTCTTCTGTTTTTATCTGATTTAGAAGGAAAGAGAATGTCTCTTTGAGGTTAAGKCTACCTGAGGTGGCCTAAATACATTTTTAAGTGGAACAGAGTTTTTGTCCATTCGAAGGCCCATCAGAGGACTGAGAGTCCAAGACAGTTTCCTTGATAATGTAACTCGAGGTGACCCCTACATGCCCACCACTGCTCATTTTACAGGATTTTACGTAGTCTGATGTTTTATCGATTAGTTTTGATTCCTTAAGAGGAACTAACAAGTGTTTCAGGCATGTTCATATTCTAATGATAATGAACTGTTTGATTCTTCTTACATCTGACCAATCAATGTGGAAATAGTATGTTTGCATTTATTTTGTTTTATAGTCAATATAGCTTTTAAGTCGTTACTCAGAACTTTTACTTTTTTACTCTAATCAGTGTTGACAACAAATTTGACCCTAATGACTTATTTCAGAACTACCGCCACATAGAAATCTCTGCACACATCTGTACAAGTAGGTAAATGTGTCCTCATAAGAAGTGTTTTGCTCTCATCATTTGATGTAATTGATGTGTGATTCTGTTTCTTCCTTTTCGCTATAGCAGCAATAACTTTAGCTTCTTTTTCTTCTTCCTTCTTCTTTCTCACATAGAGGTGATTTATTTTTTCTGAATGTCACCAGAAATACAGAAACACCTGGTTCTTGGTGTTAAAAGAAGCTCATTTTAACTGGTCCATTTCCAGTCACTATGGAGACTAACAAATGATTTAAATTTAGTTTAAGTGGTGGCTATAATATTTTTCCTAATTCTGTGGAAAGTGCATGAAGTAAAAAAAACTACTTTTAAAACTTCAGTTATGACTAAAGCTCATACTAATGTAGCATTAGCAATGTTTTTGAACATGTGTTGCCTCAGGTTGGTGTTCAAATACTGCAGCAAACATCTGATATATGCGTATAAGACCATTTAATTTATAAAACAGTCTTTGATTGATTAATTGATGAATGTAAACATTTTTTCCATTTATCGTCTGATAAACATAAAGTACTCTATAGTCATAGTTATAGTTAAAGTAATTCTGTCTTTAACATGTTGATGGCAGCTACATTGTGTAGGTCTTTTATTGTTCACTGGCTGTCTCTCACTGGCCTTTAGGAATTGTAATTTCTCAGGAAAAAAGGAAAATCAAAATGACTGATTCCTAAGGAACTCCATCACGTGCTGGCTGCCTTTCTTTTCTTTCTTTCTATTGTTCTTTCTTTATTTTTTAAAATACTTTATGTAAAGATCTATCTTCATCTTCTTCCGCTCATCCAAAGTTGGGTCATGAAGGCAACAGGTCCAGGAGAGAAACCCAGACATCCTTCTCCCCAGCGACTCTTTCCAGGACCCTGAGGTGCTCCCAGGCCAGAGACGATACAAAATACTTCTAGCAGGTCCTGGGTCTTCCCCTGGGCCTCCTGCAAGTAGGACGTGCCCGGAACACCCCTAAAGGGGTCCAGTAGGTTTCCTAATCAGATGAACCACCCCAACTGACTTCTTTCAATGTGGAGGAGCAGTGGCTCTACTCCAAGCTCCCCCCGTATGACAGAACTCCTCACCCTATTAGTTAGGTTGAACCAGACCACTCTACAAAGGAAGATCATTTTGGCTGCTTGTATCTGGGATTTCATTCTTTCGGTCATAATCTATGCCTCATGGCCACAGGTGAAGGTTGGACAGACCAGTAAATCAAGAACTTTGTATTTTTGATTCAGCTCTTTCTTCACCATGACTAACCAAAGCAATGCCCTCATTACTGAGGGCGAGGGCCCAATCCGTAGATCCATCTCCCGCTCTATCTCTGGAGGAGTGGTGTTGCAGAAGCTAGAGAAGGTGGCCATATGATTGGAAGACCGCTGGTTCAACTCCCCAGAATTACCAGCCCCACCTTGGGCCCCTGAGCAAGGCCCTTAACCCCTCAGCTGCTCCCTGGGCACCTCAAAAATAGCAGCAATTAACAGCTGTCATTGCAACCAGGTTGAAACCCGACACACAGGACGCGATAGTGATGGCAGCAATGCGAATCGTGCTCTCGGGTCGCTTGTCTTCACTGAATTTGATGGGTTCTTCTACTGCTTCTTGTAAAGGTTATTGGTGGTTCGCAAAAAAAAAAAAAAAACCCAAAAGGGTGTGTGTGTGTGTGTGTGCGTTACAGACATGTAAACTAAACAAATCTTGAGATTTTAATGACGTTGAAAGGCAAACGCACACCAAGATATAATTTTATGAGGAAAAACTTATTGGATAACTTCACCCTGGCACCAACAAATTCCCATAAAGCTGCCTTTTTTAGTAATCACTTGATGAAGGGGGCGGCACGGTGGCTCAGCTGGTAGAGCTGATGCCTCTCAGCAAGAAGGTCGCCCGTTCAAATCCCGGCCTGGGGACCTTTCTGGTTAGAGTTTGCATGTTCTCTCCATGCATGTGTGGGTTCTCTCTGGGTACTCCGGCTTCCTCCCACAGACCAAAAACATGAATGTTAGGTTAACTGATAACTCTAAATTGTCCCTAGGTGTGAGTGAGAGAGTGAATGGTTGTTTGTCTCGTTTGTTTCTATGTGTGGCCCTGTGATGGGCTTGTCCAGGGTGTACCCTGCCCCTCGCACTGTGACTGCTGGATATGGGCACCAGTGACCCACGTGACCCTGAAAGGAAGAAGCGTGTACAGAAAATGGATGGATGGATGGACTCGGTGAAGGGTCATATAAAACTGGAAAGTTTGATAGAGCTAAAATAATGTTAAAAGTTTTAGCTAACTGCAGTGTGTATCATACTCTGCACTCATTGGTAAGTCAATGAAACCCTCACTGATTGGTTGTACACCATGTGACATTGACAGAAGTTGAACATTTTTCAATGTTCATATGTCGCATCTAAAGCCCGCGTGTGCACGTCTACATGTACAAGCGGGAATTTCACATGCATGTTTTTCATCGGTCCCTTGGCTGGAGGAGGGTAAGTGATTATTCCCTCTTCACACAAGTTCCATAGGGAATGAATGGAGAGCGAGTGACGTCACCTCCCATGGGTCGAGCCCTTTAGAACCATGACCTCAGACTTAGAGGAACTGACTGTCATCCCAGCCACTTCACACTCTGCTGTGAACCACCCCAGTGCACGCTGAAGGTCTTAGTCTGAAGATGCCAACAGAAC